GACATTTGCGAACTGAAGATTGTTTCACGCTTTTATTGCTAAGCCTATAGCAATTCTGTGTTCACACTCCTTAGTAAACGGCGACCGTCTGAAAAACTCTCCTTCTTGTGCTCAGCGATTACCTTAAAGCGTGATTGTATTTCTGAGGCGTTTATGACGGTCAAAATTCTGCGGTTCCTGCAGTTTTATTAAGAGTATTAAGGGTAACTGAATCTTAATTAATTACGCAGAGAGGTGACAATTAGTCCGTCCAATTACGTAAACTGACATCGCAGTAAAATTTCACTTTACTTAAAAGCTACAATTTAGGAAACGCTTAACAAATTACAAAATTGAAACAGCACTGGAACTCACAGAGTTGTCAGATGTTTCAACTGAGGCTATGGATAAGAGCCCTATTTTAGAAGCTGGTAGTCGCATAGCTAGTTATGAAATTCTGTGTCATTTGTGGAACCTGAAGGCCCATTATCGTGTTCGTAGGAACTCACCGCTGGTCACTATTACGAAAAATATCACGTCATTTTGTTGTGTTCTTCGCCCCACGTCTGACCGATTCCCTGTCCTTGAAGTCAGCGCGCCGTTTCGGGGCAGTTTTTAAGCGAATTAATCGGCGTGAGTCAACGAAGAAATTTTCGCTGATGTGACAATCGCATTTCCGGTGGCTGTCTGAATTGTGTTTCGTTATAATACAGTTTCACTTGCTTACTGAAAATATCCGCGGTGGTCTAGCGGTTAGAAGGCTGGCCTTGTAATCCTGGGGTCTCGGGTTCGATTCCCGGCGGTGCCCGGATTTATAACTTGTGTTGGGCAAGGCCGTGGTCTAGGCAACACGGAATTTTCCTCCGGGGGCTTCCCCGGTTTCTCCGTGGCATCCCAACAATTACTCCATTCACACACAGAAGAAGGCAATGGCAAACCACTTCTGGATCATCTGCCAAGAACGTATATGAACAGGTCCCAGTCCGAGAAAAGGATGGAAGGATCCTGTTCATATGGACCTGTCGGCAGACAGAACACTACAAATAAAAATAAAATAAACTGAAAATATCTGAAGAAAGAATAATTCCTCTTAACACTTACTAGCCGTGCGATGAATAAAGCCGACTTTGAAAAGGAGCCGACGTAAGTGCTGCAGTTCGAAGGCCGTAGTGCGTCCGATTTTGCGCTGACGCACTCGATTAGTCGTCGATTCTCGTTCGTTGCCACGAGTAGATGGGCGAGGGTGAATAGGACCCTTATTCCGCAAGACGCTGTGTCAATTTGAGGTGTGTAACCGATTCCGAGACGTTTTGGGTCGTGGATATGGAGGGCAAAATGCGAAAAATGCTCTTTGAAGGCAATATTTTCCTACACGAGCATGCTAATATTTTAAGAAAATAATCGCTGTTTAAACTTAGAATCAGACGAAACCCACAAAAAGAAAATTCAGATTTACTTACTATTGAAGAACAAGGGACAAAGAGAAACTGTTGGGCGTTGAAGAAATTGGGTGAGAGGGTGTGGACTGGTTTAATGTGTCAGAGGCTCGTCCCCAGTTGTGGGCTTTCGTGAGCGCTGGAAAAATTGAAGGCGAGGAATTTCTTTGCTAGTGCCGACGTTTCGAAAACGTGTCGTAATCTTAATACGCACTACAGGAACGTCGCAATGCGGGCAAGTACCAGGTTCCGCCATTGAACCCTGCACGAAAGCTGTGGTCCAGTCGTTCTTGTTGCGATAACCCGCCTGCCGACACCCTTACTGCGAGGTTCCTGACATACTTTTCCACCCCCTACCCCTTCCCACTTACTTTAGCGACTGTCTTGCGAAATCAAAGATGGAAAAACCCTGGCTTGCTCAGGAAAAGATAATACTTGGAGAAGCTTGAGGTGGTTCACCTCAGAACCTTGTTATAAATCATGTATAAACTTTTGTCGATTTCTCCCGCCAACCTGGCTGTGACGTACATTATCAATCGTTTCTCGGTAAGTTGATTCATGTGCACAAGTAACAATGGCCGAACGATTACATCCAGGGCTGCATTTGCATCTAACGCCAAGCCGTTCGTACATCCAGAACTTCGGCCTGCACCGTCTGGATGCAATTCCGAATGTCACCAGTTCACGTTTAAATTTTTAGTTCAGATAATCTGTTCTGTACAAAATATAAAGCTTACAATCTATCGATTCCATTAATTTATATCGACATCGAATATTTTTCCACCAAATCCTAACGTATCGATATCAGTTGATATCCCTTAGCCCGATGAATGCAATAAATTGTAATCCTGTGGAAGGAGACGGTCCCGGCGTGAATTAAGCTGTTGCCCTGTCCGAAATTTCCCTGGACGGACTGAGGAAACCCACAGACAACTGAGAGAGGGTAGCCGACATTAGGAAGCAGATTCGTACCCGGGGCATACGGGAGTGGTTGATTTCGCAGTGGACCGCGACACTACATGGATGTAACATTTCGTATGCAGCTGTCATGGCCCCGCAGGGCCCTTTTTATGGTGGGGCACCCCCTCCCTCCCCCTGCGCAACGACATTACGACGTATGAAATATCTGACGCGCTCCAAAAGGAAACAAAATATTAAATTTTCAGACGAACGCGACTGTCGGCGTCCAGTGAATATTTTCTTGAAAAGAAAAACCCATCTAAGCGGTAATGACATGAATGTCCGTTCTCCACACAGCGTTTTAATTGTCACTCACTCCTGGTGTAAATACGCTCTGGGTCAGTCTCAGCGAAACTCAACAATGACCTCTCTTTCTCTCTTTCTTTCTTTCTCCCTCTCTTTTTAAGTGTTCTGTCTGACGACAGGTCCATATGAACAGGATCCTTCCATCCTTTTCTCGGACTGGGACCTGTTCATATACGTTCTTGGCAGATGATCCAGAAGTGGGTTGCCATTGCCTTCTTCTGTGTGTGAATGGAGTAATTGTTGGGATGCCACGGAGAAACCGGGGAAGCCCCCGGAGGAAAACTCCGTGTTGCCTTGCCCAACACAAGTTATAAATTCGGGCACCGCCGGGAATCGAAACCGGGACCCCCTGGATTACAAGGCCAGCGTTCTAACCGTTCTAATTCTTGGTCTTTGTTGAGTTTCGCTGTGACTGGTCCATGCATGAGTGCTGAGAACTGGCAAAGCGCGTGTTGCAAGACGTATGTCCCATCAAACAACGCGGAAATAATTTTAAACCAAGCAGGAAATTATTGCATTTGGTCTGTTGATTCAACAAACAATCAGCAAAAGTAGGGCGTTTTCTTGTAACAATGCAGGAAGATGTCAGTTGTGCCGCCTGGTGAAATGTGACTCCCCTACGCCCCAGCCCAAGCAACATTTTCTCACTTAGCCGCTGCCCCTCGCCCCGCCAGCGCATTGTTTGGGCATTGTTACGTCACGACAACAATGACAGGAGTTTATAATGTGGAAATTACGTGGGTATTTTGTCATTGGTCTCGTGTGTCATATTTCTGTGTTGCTGACATTACGTGTTGAAAGACAAGACCGGATTTAAATTAATGGGTTTTGAGGCGACATACAGCGGGTCTTTGCGGGGTTCTTGGTGGCGATCGTGACGGGACGGCGATTTGCTCTGCAGCCCAAACACTTCTCTCACGCAAACCGTGCACCACTCCTCGACATGCAGGGTAAAAGAATTCCAGGGGAGACAAACCTGGAGAACGTGGCGCTCCCTTCCCGGTCAATGATATGCAAAAGCCGTGTGGAGAAGTGGTGAGATAGTGCGCCGTCTAACTGTAAAACTATCCATGCATGAACATGACGAGAAGATGATATATCCTCCATCTTGACTGGGGAGGAAACGTTTTACCTACCAGTCACGTGAGACTCGTGACATTTGACGCACACTCGAGCGAGGTGGATGAAATTCATTCTTATTTCAGCCACGGACCTGAGGAGGGCTCATCTGAAGTGTTCTGCGCGTCCGTTCGGCGCTGCTCTGGGACGCAGTGCGTCGTGGAGGTCCGGGTTGGCGCAGTGTTACTTTCAGAGCTAGACCTCCTCACGCATGACAGAACTGGATATCGGTGACACTCGACACTGCCATCAGCAGAACGCAAATGCACTCTTCTGACAGCCAGCGCATGCGCCTAAGAGATGCTCGTGACCACGCGGGGAGTACAGATTACAAAGTTTCTCATTAAGTAATTTTCTCCAGTACCTTGTTACTTCCACTCTCCAAGGGGCAAGGATTATCTCGACTCTTTGTCATCATGATTTTGAATTATTCTTCCATTAATCTTGGAATTAATGATGATAAAACTGTGTGTGTTAAATCCTGCAGTTCATTGTCACTGCAACTACGAAAGAAAAATATTGATTTTAATCGTACAAGATGCACATATAAAATCACCGGAACCGAAACAGAATTGAAGAATCAATACAATATCTGAATTTATCTCACATTACCTCGTTGAGATTTTGTATTTAAAGCTTCAATTTATTTCGTCCGGTCAAAATATAAGTGAAGGGAGCAAATAGTAAAAAGAACGGACGTTTTCGAAATGGACAATACATTCGTAATGTTAAATGTTTCGGGGAAAACGTTTTCCTGTTATTAATTCCAGTTAATTAATGTTAATATCCACCATGTCCAGTCACGGGTTCTTCAAATAACCGAAGTACAGCCTCATCGCAACTAAATTAGATCGGCGTCACTCAGTTATCACTAAATCTCTATCAGCACTTAAATTCTGTTATTCAGCGTTCACTCGTTTTGAAACAAATATTTCGTGTTAGTCTTCCGGAATTATACTGAATTCAAATTGATATTTTGATTTGGGCTCTGTCTGTTGCCGCAAGCATGTGTTTGCAGTTGCTAGGACACGCAGAAGTGAACGCTAGCCCCCCGCACCACCCGCGCCCACCGACCGGGTCTGTTCGTGACGACGTCTGTGCGGGTCGGACCGGTGAGCCAGTGCGCAGGCGCGCGACCTGTACGGGGCCCGGCGAGGCTTCGCACGTAGGAGGGCAGTTTGAATCGTAGATGTAGTACTAGTGGACAGCTCTCACTGGGGCGATGTCTCCGTAATTATGGCATAAACAGTGGAAGGGGTTGGCAGGCGAACGCGTGCGTCAGCGGATCGTTCGTTGTCGGGTCGTGAGAAGTGAAATGAATCACGGAGTGGAGCCGTACCTCCGCGGCGTAGGTTCTTCGACGTCCACATGTGGTTCCTCACCCCGTCGTGCCAGCGTCGCAGCGGCTGTCAGTGCCTTCACGTGACATGTCTTTCGTTGTCCATGATAACACGGGACTACGTCTGGATAGTTTCTGTTTGCGGTGTTTGATGGTGCGAAGTCTTCAAATGGTAATGCAACCACCCATCGCCCGTCATTGATGTTTTCTGGTCACACATAAAAGGCGACCGCCCCTTCTCGGACTACATTTGCTGGTACAGAAATGTTTTCTATTCGACGCTCCAAGTGGTCCCCACGTGTACCGTCGTCCATTAGTGTATCGTAGCAACGGAGCTGTGGTGATGTCTTTGAGTTCCCCGCCATCTGCTGGTACGCCTTCTTCTGCAGCGCGTTTTGAAGCTACTCGCTGATGGCTAAGCCTTCGGGAGAACACAGCCCATTGCTCTCAAGTTGATGGGGCCGGAAGCCGACTGAGGACATTTCTGGCGTGGTGGGGCAAGGCTCCACGGCACGTGACCAAAGTGCAAGCCAAACAGAGAGGGATGGCCGCCGTTGCGGGAATCTACGGCATCGGTGACGAGGGAGGCGGCAGTCGGTATTCCAGGGCGTTCCTCGACAGACACACCATCACCACCGCCTCCGAACACACGTGAGTCCGCCCCTCCTCCCAACCCAGACAACTTTCGTATTGCAACAGCTTTGTGTTCGTTCGTACTTCTGCGTGCATCTCGGCGTTCTGTGACTGCCGTGGATAACCCATTGTCTGCCATTCGATTTGTTACGCAATGCATGTTTGTGACGTCACGCTTTTATTCGCCAGCCGGATAATGAACCTTCGTTTTAAATCACGTATCTGACTCGTAGATTAAGTTCATCGTCTTCTGCGCCTAACACCACTGACGTCATAATAAGTATAAGCTTCAACTTCCATTATCGTGTTGAAATGACAAACATCTGAGAGGTAAGTTACAAACTCCCAGTAGGAATTCTCTGTGCACTGCAGGTTGCAGTTTCATGCTCCAGGCGCAGATCAGTCCAAGGTCGCCCAGATGTTTCCATGCAGCCTTTTTAAAACCAGAAACGTGGACGTGGCCTGTGAGTCACGTTCTGTCTTACATCCATATCTTGTCACCAGAATGCGTGACAGAACTGGAAAGTAGAACATTTTAAGTGTTTGGGCTCGAGGAAGTTAGGGGGTTACTTCTTAGAGTACATAACACTCCAAAGACGTTTTCCACGCAGGCCGAGGTCGTTGTTGTACTAAGACGATCCATTGTCATTGTTGCGTAGAAATGTAACAGTGGTCGGTCTTGCGCAAATGCGATGAAATGTTCGTTGTTGTGCAACAATGGGAACTCTGAATTTAATCGTTACGAAACAGCGGTTTCCAACAATGAGTCCAAGAACGTGAGGAACCTAACTTAGAAATCCGCTGCTTACAATTAACTACGGAATCTGGAATTTTACTTGTTTAAAATTGGAATATTCGCTTGCCTTGGTCTAGTGCGTGGCTTTTCCATTTAAGAGAAATTTACAGTGTATATTTGTGCAGTTTTGTATTAAGGTAGCGAGCATTGCCCATAACTTTTACTCTGTAACACTAAAGCAGAAAATGGTACTCATTGTCACGAAATTAATAACATTGTTGACTGAGTGAATGCAATTGGAAATAATTGGAAATTATTGTGGAAGGAGATTCTTTTCATTTGCTTATATTTCTGCAAGGATTACTTTTGTGAAACACTGGGAATTAAATAAAACTCATTTTATTCTCAAATTTTCGTAAGTACTCGCAAGACTTATTGAAGAAGTGTAAAAATGCAGCACGTTTGATGGAAAGATTTTTTCATTGAAAATGTCGTGAATGGTGGCCTTGAGGGAGACGCGAAGCACACAGATCAGTTGTAAACTCAGTGCTGCCAACATTGCTTTCGATTTGTGATCTTTCTCCTGTCTGCACGTTTTTGTGGATCGTCGGAGAGCGAGCGAGGGAGAGAGGGAGTTGACCTTGACGAACCACACCGAAACCGTTGTTTAAAGCAGTTCGATATTATAACTCGAACTGAAATGTTCGTACGGCGGTCACATGACTCGCTCTCTGGGGCGTCGGTCGTTACGAGGGAGCTCCAGAGGAAGGCTTATTACGATTTTCCACGGAAATATTGAAGTTGGCGTACTTTGATTTTCGGCTTTGTCTCTCTGGAATGACGTACCGCGAACATTCATGAATTAACACGCATTTAAAATAGCGCTTTTATAAGAATTTTTCAATTACTCTCCTTGTGCGTTGTACCAAATGCACATGAATTGGACAATTAGAGAAGATGTCATAGTACTGGAGTTGTAACATCTTCATGCTGCAGAAGCACTACAGAAGTTGCTTAATCGAGACTTATATTTCGTATTCAACTTGGTTTATTTCCATAGGATACAAATCTTTGTGACACGGTGGTCTAGCGGTGGTCTAGCGGTTAGAAGGCTGGCCTTGTAATCCTGGGGTCTCGGGTTCGATTCCCGGCGGTGCCCGAATTTATAACTTGTGTTGGGCAAGGCCGTGGTCTAGGCAACACGGAGTTTTCCTCCGTGGCATCCCAACAATTACTCCATTCACACACAGAAGAAGGCAATGGCAAACCACTTCTGGATCATCTGCCAAGAACGTATATGAACAGGTCCCAGTCCGAGAAAAGGATGGAAGGATCCTGTTCATATGGACCTGTCGTCAGATAGAACACTACAAATAAAAATAAATACAAATCTTTATTTTTGTGCGAGCAGAGGACGCTGTCTGCCCTGTTGAATGTTATTATTATTTAGTGTTCTGTCTGACGACAGGTCCATATGAACAGAATCCTTCCATCCTCTTCTCGGACTGGGACCTGTTCATATACGTTCTTGGCAGATGATCCAGAAGCGGTTTGCCATTGCCTTCTTCTGTGTGTGAATGGAGTAATTGTTGGGATGCCACGGAGGAAAACTCCGTGTTGCCTAGACCACGGCCTTGCCCAACACAAGTTATAAATTCGAACCCGAGACCCCAGGATTACAAGGCCAGCGTTCTAACCGCTAGACCACCTCATCTAATTTTTATTTAGTTTTCTGTCTGACGACGGGTCCATATGAACAGGATCCTTCCATCCTTCTCTCGGACTGGGACCTGTTCATATACGTTCTTGGCAGATGATCCAGAAGTGGTTTGCCATTGCCTTCTTCTGTGTGTGAATGGAGTAATTGTTGGGAGGCCACGGAGGAAAACTCCGTGTTGCCTAGACCACGGCCTTGCCCAACACAAGTTATAAATTCGAACCCGAGACCCCAGGATTACAAGGCCAGCGTTCTAACCGCTAGACCACCTCATCTTATTATTATTTAGTGTTCTGTCTGACGACAGGTCCATATGAACAGGATCCTTCCATCCTTTTCTCGGACTGGGACCTGTTCATATACGTTCTTGGCAGATGATCCAGAAGTGGTTTGCCATTGCCTTCTTCTGTGTAATTGTTGGGATGCCACGGAGAAACCGGGGAAGCCCCCGGAGGAAAACTCCGTGTTGCCTAGACCACGGCCTTGCCCAACACAAGTTATAAATTTGAACCCGAGACCCCAGGATTCCAAGGCCAGCGTTCTAACCGCTAGACCACCGTAGTAGGTTGTTGAATGTAAGAACTGGAAATTTTCTTTCGCGAGTAAGTGAAAGTAAGGACGAAATTGTTACGTAAGTTGAATGGCGGCTCTAAGTAAGTGACGTCTCCAGTCCGTGTCGTCACTCGGTTTCTTTGTAAACGTTTCGTCTTCGTAAATTGTTCGTGGCACAAAGCCTCACCGAAAAAAGTGTGATGGAACTTATGGTATTGAAATCAGCAGCCTCGCACTTTTATCCATAAAAGGCGTCGCTGTGCTACTTTAATCTTGACAGGTCCTGAAATTCGTTTAAGCTGAACACCTCGTCATGTGAGACCCCCCCCCCAAAAAAAAAAACTCCTCCGTCTTCCCTCATTTATTCCGTTTTTTGCAAATACTCAATGCCATTAAAATGTTGAATGAAAAATATTTGATGAATTTTGCACAGCGTTTGTAAGCAGTTCTGAGTCGAAGTTTACGTTTTTTAGTTGAGCGATGGTCTGAACGTGGAAGCCGGAATTAACAGCCCGAGTTAAGTAAAGAAGATTTGGTTTGTTCATCGCAAGAAACAGTGAAGTGTATTTTACTGCAAAAACGACAACCCTGCCATATTTTTTAATTAAGTGACTTTCATGATCTGAATTACTGGATGTGATGCTGAAGTTTTAACGCCATTTGAGACGTAAATCACGGCGAAATGTGTAGACAAGAACAGAGTGGGTTGAAATTATTTCTCCTATTATCATCATGACGCCACGGTGGTCTAGCGGTTAGAACGCTGGCCTTGTAATCCTGAGGTCTCGGGTTCGATTCCCGGCGGTGCCCGAATTTATAACTTGTGTTGGGCAAGGCCGTGGTCTAGGCAACACGGAGTTTTCCTCCGGGGGCTTCCCCGGTTTCTCCGTGGCATCCCAACAATTACTCGATTCACACACAGAAGAAGGCAATGGCAAACCACTTCTGGATCATCTGTCAAGAACGTATATGAACAGGTCCCAGTCCGAGAAAAGGATGGAAGGATCCTGTTCATATGGACCTGTCCTCAGACAGAACACTAAATAATAATAATAATAATTATCATCATAGTAATATCATGTCGTAGTTGGGTCATATATTCATATTTCCATTACTGTGGACAGTTGAAATCACTGACCTGAAACGAACACGTATTATTGACTTAACTAATAACGCTAGAATAGTTATTATGGTTACTTTAATGCTACTGCTAATAATAATGAAGGTTATGTTTATAGAATATAATTACTGTCAACTTCGTCTACGAATATAATTGTGCGGTAATTATTTTCGCCTACACGCTGACGAAAATGGAACCCACGTCGTACCGCGCAGACGCAGTGCGATCGTCAACTTTTGGTCCGCCTTGTATCATCACGAGGATCTCAACCGGAAGAAGTTGTCCGTACTTTTTATCTCGACACGTCTACTCAAGGGGGTTTGATATCGCGCCAATTGTGAACCGGGTAAAATTGTGATTAAGGAATTGACTGCGGGAAACCTTGGCTCAAATATTTCGGTATTCGGCACGTAAAGTGGGTTTGATGTCGCGTACCTCAGTGTTCACACCGATTCTGACGTCCACCCTGATAGGCGGATATCGGGGTCTGTCTACTGGGGACAGACGAGGGCAACCAATTTCTCAATTCCGTTCTAGCGCTGAGGTCCTCCACATGTTTAATGGCGTTGTTGTTCAATCTCTGGTTAAAATTATAATAGTCTTATATTAACAAGAGTTTCTTAGGCTGTTCTCGGAGTTCATGTTCACGATTTTTTTTTGTTTATGGTCGAATCCATCCCCGGCCATATTCTGTCACCTTGACAACAAACGAAAATTTCGTGTACGACAAAGCCTCGAGCCCCATTTGTGATCCCAACCTATCTCGGCGGAAATAATTAATCACGTAGTACCAATTAAGTTTCGATCTGTTGTGCGTTTGAGTGGCAGTTTCAAAATGTAAAGTACAATGTAATCGCACAGAAACTGGAAACATTCAGTCCGAACGGATTCTG